TTAGCAGAGAATTGAAAGTGAAACTGCTTGCGTTTTGCTTGTATTTACCTTGGAAAACCTGTTTTTGGTAATGTAATGTATATTATTATTATTTTCAATCCTACTGAATCAGTTACTTGTGTGTGCTTTCTGAATGTGATTACTGCTGCAAATTCTGACCAGCCAGGTCAGCTTCAGCACTTATTGCAGCCTGATTCAGCACAACTGATTGGCCGTGGATCGGACTGCCTGATTGCCCCCAATCAGCTATTCCAGGCTTCAGGGATTGCCACAGACCATTGCTGCCTCCATGGCTTGCATTTTTGGCCTCTGGTAGTGGTGGAGGCTATATTTGGTGCATAAGATGCACCCACATTTTCACCCTCTCTTTGGGGGGGGGGGAGGGGCGTCTTATACTCTGAAAAATATGTTAGTTTCTTTGCTATATGATAGATCACTGTAAGATGTTGGCTTTTGCTTTCTGTACAGACTATATTAAATAATTAGGATCACATATCGCAAAAACATTTCAAAACAAATGGAAAGTAATATGGTTAATGTTATAGATAAGATTGATATGGCTATTAATAGATGGATTAAAATTCCATCAAACCGGTGGGCCAAGACTGAGGTTATTAAAATTAATGTTACTCCAAGCAGATTTATATTTTAAGAGAGATTTCAATGTTAATTAATTTTTGAAAGAAAAATTAAACAAATTGGTTCTATGATGCATTGCTTATTTCTGCTGGCATTGGAATGGCTGCTGTTTTGAAGGGAAAGGAAAAAGGCACCAAAAAAAGCTCTTTGATAGTTAAATCAGATTGCCTTTGGCAAGAATTAACTATGAGTAATATAATCTCAAAGTAATTAATTATATAATTACTTTGTAATTAATTATACAGTTATAAATAATTATAAATAATTATTTTAGTTATAAAATAATTGATCTTCTTAGTTACAAGAAGGTGGACATTCAACCAAAGAAAGGATTCTACCGGCGGACTCCCCATTACTATCTTTCAATAATTCTATCAAAATTAGCAATACAGACATCACATTGGTCTGGAATAGCTTGAGAACTCACCTGGTGGGCCAACCAGTTAGTTGGTATCTCTGGTCGTTCTCGACCATAAAGCACAATATCTCTCATAACTTCCATACAAGGCCGTTCCCGGACCTTTGATCCGAAGGGTGGTTCGTAATTCTTCACCTCTACAATAGTGGAAGAAATCACAAATTATGGCATTGCTGCAAATCAAATACAGGGAGGGAAAGCCTTGCATGCTTATTTCCTGTGTGCTTATTGGTTCAATGTTTAGATGCTACCAAGCGGCTGCAAATAAATCAACCAATTAAATATGTGGGCTTTGCCACCTGCATAGCTAAGTCCATGTTCCTGCTGGTTTCTTCCTATAACCGGGTAGAATATGTGCAGCTGGATTCAGGAAGCAATTATTTGTCCTCGGAGGAAGAAACTTGTACCTGCTTCTCAGAAAAAGGAGGTAGGGGTCAGTGACGGGTTCAGGCAGCTGCTTCATGCGCGCTGCATGCACATGCACAGTACAATGAAAATTGCTCTGTGCATGCGCCAAAGCCAAAAACAAGATGGGAGAACCAGTTCAGGGGTGTGGCAGGCCTGGGTCACTGCCGGTTCCAGCGACCCACGCCGCCAAGCTACTACTGGTTCGGCCAAACCGGTCTAAACCGGTAGTTACCCACCACTGGTGGGGATGCCCTCTCCTGAAGATTCCATGTCTTGATAGTGGCTGATTTGGCAACTTTATTCTTGTCTGAAATTTTCTCTTTTAGAGGAAGTTTGTTGAGAAAGTGGTAGGCACTCTATTAACAGATTAACAGAGTTGGAAGGGACCTTGGAGATCTTCTAGTCCCGCCCCCTGCTCATGCAGGAAACCCTATATACCATTTATAAAGGTATCTAGAGGAAAGGAATTGTTTAGGTCTCCCTTAGTCAGGATTCAGGCCTAATCATGGAACAGAAACAAAATTTGTCACTTTAGTAGGTGTCCTTCATCAGGACTCAGATCAGTGATGGCAAACCTTTTAGACACCAACTGCCCAAACAGTGCACGCATGCCCAAACTGCAAGGTGTGCTCACACGCATGTATGCACATGCACACATATGTGCACATGCTCAAGAGAGACCCGAAAACCAGCTGGCCGGTGGGAGGTGAGGCATCCCAACACGAGCAGCTCTGCATGAGGTGAGATCTTTTTCTTTTGTAAGCTTCTGTTTTGTTGTTTGTAGGGAAACTTGTGTTTCCCTGCAAACAACGGCAAGAAACACCATGCGGAAACACGATGGACCTGAGTTTGGGTGATGGTGCGCATGGCCACGGAGAGGGCTCTGCAGGCCACCTCTGGAACATTCCTCATACGCTGTGGATTTAGATTTACAACAAGACCTTTGAGACTAAGGGGCATATAAAGTGAGTTGATATCTCCAGGGCTTTTTTATAACAAGTGAGAGCCTAGAATAGTGATGGCAAACCTTTTCAGCACTGAGTACCCAAACGTGAATGTGTGCATGTGCACACACACTCCGGAAACCCAAAGAACAGGTACCCACCATGAATGTGCATGCTGAAAACCATAAGAGCACCCGGCGACTGTGTGCGTGCCCACAGAGACAGCTCTGTATGCCACCTCTGGCACGCGTACCACAGGTTTGCCATCACAGACTTAGATAATAGGAATACATCCTTCTCAGTAAACCTTTTTGCAGTTTTTGCTGTCATGGTATCCTTCTGGACCACCTGCAAGGATGGAGAATAGGAGGCATTATCACATAGTTTTTAGTCTCCCATGAATAGTCATGGGAGATAAATAGTGGAATCCTTGACCACAGACCAATAAACTTGGTCTTCATTCCTATATTATTTAACATATATTGTATATGACAATTGCTGGGTGAAGTATAATCTGCTGGTGATGGTTGATTCACAGACTAGAAGGATTCAGAAATTTTTGATAAACAGCCTGCTCCTTTATCGGGGAAATGAACAGCATATCACCATTTCACAGGATCACATTTAGAAACAGCCTAAAAATATCTCTATCCAAATGTATTTTCGAATTCTGAAATTTGATTCTAATTTAGAAATAATTCAGTTGCTGAAATTCATTTAATAATCCTATCCATTGTGTCTCAATAAATCTTGCTAAAGAAGTCAAATATTGCTTGGAACAATTACTTGTGATTCAGACAGCTGCCAACGAGCCAAAAAAGGTATTTGACTGTAAATCAGCAGGATACCACAGCACTTTGAACTGGTGATGTTGTAGAAGTCTTGAACTACAGTCTGGAATCTTCCTTCCTTCCTTCCTTCCTTCCTTCCTTCCTTCCTTCCTTCCTTCCTTCCTTCCTTCCTTCCTTCTGTCCTTCCTTCTTTTCCCCACATCTGATTGAATATTTCCAATTCTAAGCATTTTGGCAATTAGTAAGAGAGTATTATTGTTCCTACAAAATAATTATTATTCATTCACTTTTGTTGAAATCATTTAAACAATACATCATTTAGTATTGTTTGATCCTCTTGATTGTTTTCTCCAAGCTTAATGAGTCTTGAGACTAATATATGTCAGCGAAGATGATTCTGAGCTCTGCTAAAGTGGAGAACAATTTTCATATAATGTAATGGTAACAATTATTTCATAGTAGGTAAGTAGTGTGATCCCATATGAATTGCATGAAAATGCATTGCAATGAGCCAGATCACCCAGTCATTACTCTAATGTTGATTTGATGGTTCTTGGATATAGGTGACTTTTCAATTTAATGGCCAGATATACACGCACGCACGCGCTCGCTCTCTCTCTCTCTCTCTCTCTCTCTCTCACACACACACACACACACACACACACACACATTATTTATGGTCACAGACCAAAACACTACAAAAGAGACATAAGAGAATTGATCATAGCATCATAGCAATCAGCCACCAAAAGCTTAACTAGGGAAGTTACAGTGTTCTCCTCTAATTTGGAAATCTGAGAGGTGATGTATGAGGAGACATCTCCAAGGCAATATACAAACAAATTACAGCCATTAGGTCTAGAAGCAGTGACGTGCGGTGAAGTTTATGGCTGGTGAGGCACTGACGCAGGGGTTTCAATTTTTTTTAGACTTGTGGACTTC